AGGGCAGTGTCACTGGCCCTCATATGTGGGATCCGAACCGGGGCCCTCTGGCGTCCCAAGCCAGTTCTTAACCATCGCGCCACTCGGCTGGCCCCTTTAATGATTTCTTTTGATATCAGACTACAGTGAGAGGGGGTGAGGGTAGGAAATTGGGAAGCAGGTAGGAAGTAACTTAAGTGAACACAGGGCTATATTTTCTAGAACACAACGTAACCAGCACCTTATCACCTCAGTGCCAATTTTGTGTGCGTGAGCATAGTGCGCTTGCACTTATGTGTGATGTGGGGGTGTTCCTCTGAGGTTATTTCTGGAGTCAGATATTTCCTGCAATTAGAGGTAATGGTATGCCTCATCGCCTGCCACCTTCAGTCATTGTGGTTTGGATTTTTTGCGTGAAGCACATGTGAGGTGGGGAAGAATCATTTCTTGTTCCTCCCTGAAGCCTTCTCAGTCTGGAGTGTATCAAAGGTACACTTCTATTCATAACGAAGAGCCTGAGTTAGGAGCAGAAGCAGTTGTGCCCTCCATGGGTGCGTGTGTGCACTTCGTCTGAGATGAACCTTTTCACTCTCTGAGCTCCCTGGAGGCCTGCGAGGCCTGAGCTGCCAGGTGTGCCAGGCTGGATGTTGGCAGGAGCTGCCAACAGGATGTTGTTACCCAGAATGCTGCTGTCGCCATGGCTGCAAGCATGAGCCCAGGGATGTCACAGGATGGGTGTGGCTTTTCCTACCTTTGAGTCTGTACACTTCCCATGCTCTCAGAGCCTGAAGCTTGTCTAAAGGTTTCCTGGGAGGAGGTGAGTGAAACCCATAGTGATGGGAAATTGACATCTAACAGTTGTGGGAGAAGCTTGTCATAAAGGCGAGGGAGCCAGGGGTGTGTGGATCCTTAATAAGGTTTGGACACTTGTTTGTGCAGTGGGTGTTGCTTTCGCAACTTGCAGTCCTACATGGACAGCATGTGGCATGGCTCTGGGCTCTGGAGAGGAAAGGCGGGAAACAGGAGAAGGAGTGAGGCAAATCCTTTTGAAAAGACCCGCAGCAAAGAAGCATTGTAGCTACTACTAAGATTCACCTGAATAATTGAGCAGGTTGTGTTTTTGTATTGCTCTAGTACCTGGAGGCAGTGCCTGCAGCAAGATAAAGCTGGGAGGAGTCCATTCTTCCCAGACAGAATTCTTGTCATTCTCAGCTTTTATTACTGTTGTTAACTTGTTCTGAAACCAGGACTCGGCCTTTAGGAGATGGGGAGGCAAGATGGTTGAGAAATTGCCCTAACATTATTCTAGTTACTGTTCTTGTGGATTTTAAAAATACCTTAAAAAAATAAACCACACAATTTTAAATATTAGTGATGTCAACGCTCTGTTGGCTTTTGGAATATATATGTGTGCATACACACACGCACACATACACATGCAAGTGCACATATGTTGTATTATTTTCCTGGAGCTGCCATGACAAAGTAGCACAAGCTGAGAGGCGTGAACAACAAGTATTAATTGTCTCCCGTTTCTGGAGGTCAGAAGTCCCAGATCAAGTCACCAGCGTTGATTCTTTCTGAGGCTGTGGGAGAACTTGTTGCTGATTCCTTCCCCAGCTGCTGGGGGTCTCTGGCAAGCCATGGCATTCTGTGGCTTTTAGACGCATCAACCAATCACTGCATTCCTCTTCACATGACGTTCTCCCTGTGTGGTGACTGTGTCCATATTTATCTTGTTGGTTGACAAAAGTTGGAGTTTTCTCTTATTAGTAGGGAAATCCATACTTATTTTAGAAGAAAGAAGACAGAAGTCATCTGAAACCCAGTCACCCAGTCCCTGTTGTTAAGCATCACCTGCATTGCTTCTTCCCCGGGTCTAGCTGCTGTCCTCAGATAAGAGAGTCACATACTTCAAGTATTTTAGCAACATTTGCCCTTTGGCTAGTGTGCGCCATGAATTTTCCCCAACGAGTTTCCATCACAAAAGTCTCTTTCAACGTCCCGTGTGTCACACCATGTTCCTTATGGATTTTATGAAATAGGGTCATTGGTATAGTTTCCTCTCTGATGTAGAGTTTCATGCTATTAGATTAATTTTTTTTTTTTAGAAACCAATTTGTAAGTTGTATTTTATCATTAGGTTACCAATACTTGAAGAGTCTTTGATTCTAGTGTTCTAAGGCAGTATTCAGAAGAGTATCTTTTAATCATTTTATTTTTTCTGCCTTTTCATGTAGGTTTGACTAAATGCATTACTAGATGGCAGATCCTTAGTATCTCTATAAAGTTCTACTAAAATTTCATTCTGGAATTATGCAAGTTTTAGGGAAGACCAAGGGTAATGGAAAATTAGTAGTTAGTAGCCCAACAATTATAGAATCTCATGATGGTGTAAAACTTGACGTGAATTTCTGTGTCTCATTTTTCTAATTTCAGGGAATGAATTTTATAGCGGGATATCTGATTCTTATCACGAAGAATGAAGAAGAATCCTTTTGGCTGTTAGATGCTCTTGTTGGAAGAATACTACCTGGTATGTCGAAAATCCCTGTTGTGTGCCTGTCACTGTCTTGTTTCTGGTGTTATCAAAATAATTCAGCTGATAAGCCAAGATTTAATTAAAGCATAATTGAATTGTTTGAGAGTCGAGGTTAAAAATCTTTTTGTAGTGGAGTTAAAGAGAAGAAAAATATTTAAGATGATTGGCTAGAGCAACCCGTCATTTCTGCATCTTAGAGCTTGAATTTGGCTGAGGCTGTATGTTGGCTCATCTGTTCCTCAATCTGTACTGTTTGTGTTGAGACCTATTGGGCCTTATTGTATTTCTTACTGATCACGAAATCTGGGAGAGGTTCATCTGGAAAGGAAAGGTGGAGAGGTCCAGAGTGTGAGAAAAGAGGCTACCTTAAAGGGGAGAGGACCCTAGCAGTCCCAGTTTCAACATGCATATATTTGTTATTGAATTTGTGAATGGTCGTAAGAGTGCAATAAAGGTCAGCTGTTATTATTACTGTTATTAAGATGAGACTCATTCTTTTCATACATTTCCACCTTTCTATTTATTAATGAATATTGTTTTAATTAATTATAAGCTAGTTAACAAACAATTTATTTGTTAATAGACAACCACCGATTTTTATAACGTACAGTGGGGACTATGAGCTGCAGAGTAGGATCACTTGGGGAAGAGAAATGGCCAGAGCCATCTCGGTTGGAGAAAACTTGGGGCAGATTTGATCTTCTGCCCTCCCCAGTGATGATGGTGGTGATCGGTCACAGTGAGCCTCATGCTTGGCCTGAAAGATAAGCATAGCTGCGAAGTCCTCATGACTGGAGGAAAGGGGAGTGAGGGATGTGGGGGCTGGTGTGGTTATGTCTCCCCACCCCCACAGCAATGAGCTCAGAGTTAATCTTGTTTTTTGTGCCTGCCTCTGAATTTTCTTCTTGCTCCTCTCCTTCCTCACACATGCCTCCCTGAGTTGGACTAGACTCACCCTAGGGTCACCCAGGACAGCATCCAAGGACATCTCTGGAGAGCTGGTTCCCATCTCCAGGAACTCCATGTTGAAGACATGAGAGCGGTGTGCACATAGCATGTTTCAGATTCCATGCTAAACTGCACCTACGTTCTCATTTAATCTTCAGGAAAACTACCACACAGCCCTAACTATTAAATCCGTCTTACAAGTGAGGCTAAGTAAGGCCTAGATTCCACAGCTGTATGTGGCAGAGCCTGGATTCAAACCCATGGCTGTGTGACCCTAAGACCCTGGCATGTGCCTCATGGAAGAGTGAACCTGAGTAGCACTGTTAAAGAAAGGGAGGATCTGGAGAGACAGAGGGAAATGGGGGCACTCCTTGTGCTCTGGTGCCGCCATTAGTAAGGGCTCAGGAGTGGGCATGCCAGAGGCCAGGCTGGATGGAGCTGCCCACAATGGATATTTATATCCACGATCAATTTAGGTCTGGGGGTTTGGAAAACATCAGTGAACAAAACATAAAAGGCCCTGCCCTTGTGGAATTCCCATTGTAGGAAGAGGTCATACAATGAGCAACAGCCACAACACAGCCCGTAATAAACAGGGAAAATACATAGTGTTACTGTTCATACATACAGACGTAGGGAAAAGCCCTGAAACTGAAAATCTACCTCCGTAAGTGGAGGGCAGGGAAAGACTGAAGAAAGAGGCTGGCCACTCCAGTATGGTAGCGAATAGAGTTAGTTTACTAAGGGAAACTTATAGACGAGGTGTATCTTGGGTGGCACAAGACAAAATGGATCCCTGTACCGCTTAGAACTGTATAAGGTAAAAGAGGGCATAGTCATGGGTACTAGTATATGACTGTTTCCAGGTACGGGAAATTACTTTACATGCTTGACCAGGTCAGGACAACAACCTATTCTAGGAACCAGCACATAGCAGGAGGCAAAGGAGGGGTGCTGATTTATGTCAGAATGAGCATCAAATTATGACCAGACAGCCTCTAAATGGGGTTTGCAGAAAGCAACCTCCTTTCTGGCTCAGGTCCAGCTCGAGGGACAGACAATGGTCACGTCATGGAACAGTCTCTCCTCTAGACTTAAACAAAATTTAGCTCAGTGAATTTGAAGATCTAATTGGGTTTATTAAAAGATTCATGAATCAAGCAGCAACTCATCTAGCAAGAAGAGAGATACTTGAGAGATTATACAAAATGGAAGGCTTTTATTTACTTATTTAAAATAATTTTTTCAGTTACAGTTGACTTTCAGTATTATTTTATATGAGTTTCAGGTGTACAGCATAGTGTTTAGACATTTATATAATTTATGCAGTGGTCCCCTGATTAGTCCACTACCCACCTGACACTATTCATAGCTGTTGCAACATTACTGACTATATTCTCTATGCTGTACTTTACATCTCCATGACTATTTTGTAACTACCAATTTGTATTTCTTAATCCCTTCACCTTTTTCACCCAGTTTCCCAATCTCCCCACCTCTGGCATCCATCAGTTTGTTCTGTGTATCTGTGAGTCTGTTTCTGTTTTGTTTGTTTTTTTATTTTGTTCTTTAGATTCCATGTATAAGTGAGATCATATGGTATTTGTCTTTCTCAGTTTGACTTATTTCACTTAGCACAATACTCTCTAGGTCCATCCATGTTGTCACAAATGGTAAGATTTTAATTCATTTTTTATGGCCAATAATATTCATTTTATATATATATATATATATATATATATATATATATATATATATATATATATATATCTTCTTTGCAACATGGAAGGCTTCTATAGAAAGAAGGACAGGACAAGGAAGTCACCAGTAAGAAAAAAATGAAAATTCATTGGAGGAAAGTAAGAGTTTAGGTGATGACATCTTCTCATTGGCTGAACTGTGGCATTTCCATTGGCTGGGCTTGTTGCTGGGCAAGAGGAAATCTTCCTCCTGCTGGAGGAGTAAAGTAATAAAAGCATTGTGGTCTGTAATTGACTCACCGTGTTGAAGTCTGTAATTGAGGTCTTCCTGTTTGAGGTAGTTAACCTAAGTGGTAGGGTGGGAGAGCTCCCTCTACAGGACTTCCCAACTCCAATTTTAGTTGAGGTTTCCTTTAATTTTCACATGAGCATTAGAAGGTGATAAATGCTAACTTAGAACAAACAAAAAATCAAGGCTCCAGATTGCCCCTAAAGTGGTAGTGTCATTATAGAGAAACAAAAGAAAATATCAAAATAAAAATATTAGGCGTGTGGAAGAAAAATGGGATTATTCTTGTCATTGCAGAGCTCTCCTAGCGGCAGAGAGGCAGCTATACATCATGTTCTCTGAATCCTGGTTGCACAAACTAGGTCATTTCAGCGCCACATTTATTCTGCTTTTAGTTTCTTTTTTTAATTATACAAAAATGCAGGTATCTTCTCATTTCAAAAGTTGAAAAAATATAGTACTGATTACAGAAAAAAAGTGACAATCTTCCTTCACTTATACCCCTCTCCCATTTCTGTCCTACTCAGAGGAATTAATTATGTTATCATCAATTTGTTGTGTATATTTCCAGTTTTTTTATGCACACACACACACACACACACACACAAAAGTGAAAATTAATGACATAGAAAACAAAGAAGCAATAGAAAAGATGAACTGAGACAAAAGCTGGTTCTTTGGAAATACTGATAAAGTAGACAAACCTCTGGCAAGACTGATAAAGAAAAAATGGATTTGCTATTTAAAAATGAAAAGGGTGTAATTTGAAAATCTGTAGATTTTTAAGAATCAGAATAGGAATAAAGTGAAGAGACAAATGGATAACTTTGAGAAAAATACAGTTTAACAAAGCTACTCAGGAGAAAATAGAACATCTGAATGAGCATATGTACAGACATAAAAAATCTCATCAAACCTTGAAGGAACAGATAATTCCTATATACTTTATAAATCTTGCAGAAAATAGAAAAAGATAAACTGCTTATCAACTCATGTTATGAAGTTAGTATAACCTTGCTGTCATGCAGGCTAATCTCTGATGAACACAAGTTATACAAATCCTAATTTAAATAATAATAGTGTTAGCAACTTGAATCCAGTGATGGCTATGGAGTATTATTTGTTATCTAAAGCGTTTATCCCAGGAATGTAAGAATGGTTTAATCATATGGAAGAATCAAGAGCAAAGCCAAGCCAAGAAAGAAAGAAGATTATTGGAGATATAGCATAATGCTATAATAATTAAAATTGTGTGGTAGTAGTTTGTGGATGGATAAACAAAATTGAGAGGGCAGAAATCAGTTAGTCTATTGATCTATTAATCTATCAGAACTTGGTATGTGAGATATATTGATTAATGGGGAAAGAAAGGTTAAAACATCATTCTGTGACAATTGACTGTAGGGAAGAAAACAAAATTAGGCCCTTAGTTCTATTCCAGAGAGATTCAAGACTTATGTGAAAAGCAATAGGCAACTTACAAAATAGGAAACCTGAATGGTCAACAAAGTTATGAAGAGCTGACCAAGCTCTCCTGTGAGCAACGAGATACAGATTTAAACAACACTGAAGTAGGATGTTAGCACAGGCCCCTGATGGCTGCTGCTTCTAGGCCAGTGACAGCCCAATTTCAGAAGTTGAAATGGGATAAAAGTTAGTGATAGAATTGAGGACAACATTGTGTTACTGTCTTTTCACAAAGGAGGAACTGGAGGCAGAGGGTAACTTGTACAGTCACAGAACTCATGGTCTCATGCACGCCTCACCGGTCTTCTGCCTTGATGACCGAGCCCTCCTCAGGCACTGCCACTGCCAGGAGTATTACTGTGTTGCATGAAAGTTAATAGTCACTCAGACAAAGTTTACTTAAAGGATTTCACTTTTACACTATGGTCCCAAGTCAACAGAATGCTAGCAGACAGGGCCTATACATACGAAACTTGGCCTCCATACACCCACATGCAGAGTTCATAGTCTCGTGAAGACCTCCTGTGACATCCGGCAGCCTCTTTGGGAACCAATGGTGGCTCTGCAGTTTAGACACCCTTCCAACCAAGGCATCCAGGGAAAGGGTGCAAGAGGAAAAGCGGATTTGGCCACTTCATGGGTAGAAGCCCGGTGAGGATCAGGCTCTGAGTCAGTTCCTGGTGCTAAAGGTGCCCATCTGGCTTCAAGAATGGAGGGGGGAGCGTACAGTACATCCAGTGAGTCAGTGCAATAATGGACTAGTAATATAATGGCATCCTGAAAAGCTGGTCGGACCCGTTTTCCCTTGAAACAGGGAAATGGGTGGTTAATTGCTGATCACAGAAATACTCAGTTCAAACTAGAAGGTGTGGGCGACAGGAGGACTGATAAGGCCTATTCTGTGGGGCGAGGCTCAAAGTCCCTAGGAGCAGAGGTGGAACAGGGTGAGGACCACTGGACTCTATTCACCTCAACTGCACCTGACGATATCTTTCATGTGTCCGCTTGATTAGCTTACCCGTAGGGGCTCCCCCACTTGGTGGTGTATCCCATAGCCTGTGTCCCACTCCTGTGGGACATGTGTGTGCTTTTTCACAGGCAGGCACGTCATCCCTGGGCTAAAGAGCATCAGTTTTGGAATGAGACTGCACAGATTTGAATCACAACTCTACCACTTACTACTCATGTAGCAGTAATCACAGGCATGTTTCTAAATCTGTGCACCTCCACCCCATAGCAGCACCCATCCCTGAGACAGCACCTCCCTCACCTACCCTGCCCCCCGAAGCACAATGCAGCCTTCCGATGCACTGACACAGCCATTAGGTTGTTTGCAAAGGTGAATGTTCCCAGCAGAAGCGTGACTCGGGGCCCCAGAGAGGTGAGGCAGTTCAGGGGCTACATAGGGTGTTTCTTTGTTCCTGTGCACAGATGGATGCTGGCTCTGATGTGTGCTCTTCTGCTCAGTAGTTAGGGGGATGCTGAGGGCAGAGCCTAGAAGGAATTGTGGTTTGTCTCGCCTTCAACATTCTAGGGCAGGATGCATTGAGGAGGGAAAATTGGAGGCTTTCAGTGATCTTACCTTGGTGACGGGCTCAGGCCTGTGGCGGTCTGGGTTGTGACTTTGACATCTATTTTTGGAAGCTGCTGTAAGCCTCTCTGTAAGCAAGAACAAGGTCGTGTTGTGCCTGCAGCTTAAATGTCCTTCTCGGCAAATCCTCTTACCACTCCTGTGCTTAAACCTGATTTCCTCTGAGACGTCACTTGTATAATTGGGTCGGCACTCAGGACGCTCTCGAGAGAACAGAGAATCTTTGCTTCTTTCTCCCCGGGTGGACTAGAATATTGCTGAATTAAAAGGGAAAAGGAGAGCAATAGCTCAAAGTTTCAAGAGAGAGATGCGAAATAAATACATGAAAGGGAAAAAATTTTTTTAATCCCTTGTATTTTATAACCAGATAGGCTTCTAGTAAATTATTTTCAGTGTACTTTAGTATTAAACATAGTTTGTAGCTTACTCTTTGAAAATTAGCAACATGACTGCGATATCGTGTCAATATTTATCATGACTATTTTAACCAAAATACTTAATTAACAAGAACATTTGCTTTTGTGAGTGACCAAACTGCATATAGGCAGCAGGACGAGATACTATATTTAACAGTATGCAGACTGTGCACATTTTCCTATTTTATTACACATCTCCATGGCAGATTACTACAGCCCTGCAATGCTGGGTCTGAAGACGGACCAGGAGGTCCTGGGGGAGCTGGTGAGGACCAAGCTGCCGGCGGTGGCAGCCCTGATGGATGGGCACGGTGTCCTGTGGACTTTGGTTGTGTCACGCTGGTTTATCTGCTTGTTTGTGGACATCCTGCCCGTGGAGGTGAGTATCTCCTGCTTTGTGGGGACCAGGACTGACTCAGGTCACTGCACAGTAATCTGCCATTTCTGTTTCTCTGCAGACGGTGCTTCGAATCTGGGATTGTTTGTTCAACGAAGGCTCAAAAATTATCTTCCGGGTGGCCCTGACCCTAATTAAGCAACATCAGGCTTTTATTTTGGAAGCCACCAGTGTTGCAGACATTTGTGAAAAGTTCAAGGAGATCACCAGAGGGAGTTTTGTGACTGAATGTCACACTTTTATGCAGGTGAGCATCTGGGTGTGCTCAGCCTGTGCTTTGCTCTGCTGTTCTATTTGCCCAGCCCATGAAGTGGGTGTCCTGGCTTCGCACGTCTGTCTGTCTGGCAAAGCATCTGTCCCTGTATTTCCTTTGGACCTCTTCCTCAGCTGGGTCCCTTCACCCCTCCCCTCTCAGGCAGCCCCGAGGAGGGGCTCTAGCCCCTTCTAGGCCCGTCTCCTGGAGCCCAGGGCCTGCTGGCAGATGCGTGGGGGCCACCTCCCTGGAGTCCATGGCTGCTGCTGCTCCTGTTGTGCCCTCAGCCATGGAGTGGCTTGCTCTGAGATGGGCAGGGTCCGGTGCCAATGGAACCCCCTGTGGGGCCAGTCCAGGTTCCCTGAGACAGAAGCACCAGAGGGCTCGAGTACACAAATGGGTCTAATCCACACTTTCGTTTCTCCAGGCCTGGGAGGTGGCAGACTTCTCTGAGTCCTGGGGCCCCTCCTGGGCCTGCTGCCTGTGTGTCTGGTCTCAGAGGGCTTTCCTGATGACCCTGTCTACAGGAGGTCTCCTGTGTCTCCTGGTCCTAGTGGGGTTGCAGGCTGTGTAGATGACTCAGTG